GGGGGGGGTGTTCTGGTGGTAAACACTTTAAGTACACCTGAATGTTTAACATGTAAAACATGTTATCTTGGAATCCAGATAAATTTTGTGAAGTTAAGAGCGTGGTCATATTGCCCCAGCTAAAGGTAGTATAGACTATATATATATATATATATTCATTTTATCTGGAAATTTGAGATAATTTGTGATGACTTATGTTTAATTAGGGATATTGACATACATATCCATTCAATTACTGATTGTGCTCTTTGCCAGCCAACAGTTCAATTCTGGTTAGTTCATCTGGCCCAAAGTTATTCTAAATGACATTGTGTCAAGACACTGTTATTTTGCCTGTAGCTTTATTTTGGTCCACTTATGAGGTTACAAATGTGAGATTAATACCAGGTGAGCAGTGTAGACCCATTGGGCCTCTTAATTGTGTAACCATGCACTTGATGATTGAATTGCAGTGCGAGTTTACAAAACTGTTTACATCTATTATATTTTGGAAAGTCACATGTATCTTTTGACACATCTATTCACAAAACAATCTGGATACAGAAACAAGAGCTGTTGTTCTAGATCCAATAATTAACTGTAGTGTTTTATTTATATAATGTACTATTTATATCCACAAGTTAAACTTGTAAATATTTTATGTATTCAAGTATTTGTAATATTTAGATTAATGCTTTACACAAATGATAGTTTTATTTACAAGTCTTGTACACTATACGGCATGCTTGGTTTTGTTACCTCCCTTGTTGAGACGTGTAGATAATAACGTGTGCGCTACATGAACCATTAAACAACCATACCTTGTGTTACGAGTTTTTATCTTTTTGAACACTACAGTGTATACGTACAAGACAGACTGTTAAGAAACAGACAGACTTTTCACCATGACAGACTACCCCATCCTGGGCACCTTTTGCCTATCCGGTATGGCCAGTTGAAAAGGTTGAACCTGAAAGAAAACGACAGGCGCAGATCTGAACCTTGGCTGGCCTCAGGACGTGCCTGAACTAAAATGCTGACTGTTGCTAGTTTGTGTTGTTAATTGCTAGATTTAAAATATACCGATAGGAAAAATATTACGACTAGCTTCTTCAACGCGTCCACTAAATTACATAATATATCTTGTTATTTCTGCCTACAGTTTATCTAAGTGCATTTGTTCATCGTGGAATATTTCTACGCCACCTGAACCGTTTCAATCGGTGTACGCGAATGCGACTTAGTGAAACTGGACCCAGTACTTTGTAATAGTTCTCACCTGGCAATACATAAGATGACACATTTGTACTACTATTAGAATGGGTTTGACATTTCCGGACCTTTACTTATATCATCCACATTCGGTACAACTATAGATACTAAGGGCATTGTGTATTCCATGTTGCATCATTATTCCTTTTAAATTCCTGAGAAATATTTCTGCCTGACAGTCAATTTTCTTTTCTGATCTGTTCTCCAGTTAGAGTATGTATACATTTGGACCAAGGGGAGCATGCATACCAAGTTTCATAATGATCCCCAGTAGTTTTCTGAGAAACATCAGTAACAAAAATAGTTTACAGACATACTTGAGGACGGACGGGCACCCTGACCAAGGACAAAAAGCGATTTGCACAGCCCATCATATGATGGTGAACAAAAAAGTTTGAATCGTGAATAATGTCATGCTTTGAAAATTATGATGAATCGGTGAATCGTTGTTTCTCCCTAATGCAAACGTAAACTGTAATGTGGTGAAACAATGACGGTAATACAGCTCCTTTGGGCCTCTTTTGTCAAATTTCCAAACGCCATAAAATACCCAACTCCAGGAATACATTGCAATGTTTTTTATTCAGTTGATCTGATATTTGTATTTCCGAACATGATTCGTCTTTCTTAACATTCTTTCAAACTTGTTGATAGTTGTATAACACCTCTTGCAGCCTCTGCAGTTTAAATGTTGTCCCTCAGCATACTTCTAAACATCTCGCTCATACGTAGCGTCCTATGATGTAGTGAGTTTTATCAAATTTGGAATGTTTAATTGAAAATTAAACTTATTTGATTGTTTATTATAACATTACTAGATCTATAAACAAAGCTATCACGATATGACACAACTTAGAAGGACACAAAACCTGGTGTTACTACAGTTTCAATGATAAAAAAAACCAATCGGTATCTCTTGGCTTGGTTCTTACCTCGTCTACAAGTGTCTTGGTGCAATAATAAGTCACTTTCAATCAAACGACTAAAAGTTTTGGTGAGAAAAAAACTGAACTGATTAACATATACACAATGACAAAGAACTGAAAACAATTTTAAAATTATTTCATAAATTAACTGTTCATCAATGAACAGTTAACACAACTGTTGTTATATCCCATCCACTCTATCCGCCCCAATATCACAAAAGTTTCGGTCATTCTTAAGCTGAGTTTGAGCCGAGTAGAATCGGCATTGCATCACAGTAGCTCTTGGCTTCAAGCTGACTCGGATGCTGGTTACATCTGAGCAGCCGTAATATTGAAGGAGGTCCCCTGACCAAGTATTGCTTTACACCCATGCCAAAAGATGAGGTTTTCTATCCTGACAACCTTTCTACACTTAGGCAAACAAATCAACAATGTTTGTACAGTGTGATTATTGGGACGGATTTGGTGCCACAACACTCCACACATCTCACACAATACATCCAACATATTCTACATGTACCTTGAACATCTAGCAACATGATCATGAAACAACACAGATCTAGAAACAAATTGATATTAAAGATGTCTTTTTTAACAAACGTTGTATAAGAAACCTGTACAAAGAAACAAATTGTCAAAAAATTCATTCTGATAATTATAATTAGTGGTTTTATATGATGTCAAGAAAATAGAAATCGGAGTACGACAAATACCATAAGGAAAATCATATTTTCAAACATGAACACAATTACAAGGTAATAATTGCAGGTTTGCTTTCAATCAGAACTGCCACTAATTGATGTTTGGAATGTTAAAGTATACAAAACCCAAAAGTTTAGGTATACTGTTCAATGACTGTGTGCAGTTCTGTTTATAATCACATTTGAGGCCTGCTACTACATTTTAAAAGTATTAAACCAACAGTGGTTTACCCCCCAAACTCAAATGAATAAACCATCACGTTTTAAACTATATAATAACCTAAGTGATCATTTCACCTAGTAAGGGCTGACAGTACTTCATCATTAAGTACCATCAGTGGGACTGTTTTCTTTCATTTCCACGGCCATTTTCATTGTTCAGAGACTATATACAACACTATCTACACTTCACACTCGCTGGCAGTCCTCCGTTTCACACTATCTACAGGTCCACACTCCCAAGTCATCTGTCTTTCACTATTTACAATTCCTATGTACAATTTAAATTAAAATAATTTAAGTGTTTAGAAAATTGTGATAATTTTATATTTCTGAAAATAAAGCACCATTATTTACAATTTAGGACAAAACAATACAAAAAGTAATGAATATAGACACATGATTTCTACATACGGGACAAACATTTCATTTCACGTACATTTTTGTTGCTTTGGTAATTTGGAGAAGCTGTTATCGAAATTTTATAAAAACAACTACTTATATTAATTCACATATTCATGGATGAGATCAAGACCATGGAGGTTAGACGTGACATCATCGTTGGGAAATGATTGATTGCACACGCTCGTACAGATTTGAGATAACTTTTCTTACAATGCAACAAACATTCATGAACTGAACCTACACAGGAATATTAAACAAAATGTTTCGTTTTTGATTGGAATCATTAGTAATATTACTTCTACAGTCAACAGATCTGATAACAACCTCATCCATATAAGTTTTTGTTTAGGTTAGAAGCAAACCATCGGGTATGTGAATATCATTTTCCTGGCAAATGATGGCGCATTACCATGATCAAATTATGAAATATTACATTTTCACTATATGTATAATTCAGTATGTTTTTTCCACTAGGACAAAACTGTATGGTGGATGGATACATGAACATAAAAAACATCCCCTGACCAACTGTCTAGATGATGACGGCAAGTGAAGTGATTGCACTTTATGGTAAATGGTAATATCTACAGCTGTAGCTACCAGCAGTATATAGTCAAGGATACATCACTATATTTGTAGTTATAATTGTCAAACTTCATTATCTCAAAGAGGCAAGGCAAAAGTTTGGTTTCCGAGATTTAAGATTTCCAAGATGGGCAATCTCATGTACTGAATATTCAATAAGGTACTGAATATTCAATAAGGTACTGAATAATCAATAAGGTACTAAATATTCTATAAGGAACTGATTTATCAATAAGGTACTGAATAAGGTACTTAATATTCAATAAGGTACTAAATATTCTATAATATACTTATTTATCAATAAGGTACTGAATATTCTATAAGGTACTGAATATTCAATAAGGTACTGATTTATCAATAAGGTACTGAATATTCCATAAGGTACTGAATATTCAATAAGGTACTGATTAATCAATAAGGTAACTATCTGTACAGTATTGCTGTTGATAGACTTCCTTCATAACAATTCAGTATAGTATATCACAAAGAGTAAAGTTAACTTAACATTTCCCTTTTTTATGTATGGTAGCAAACTGCACTTAACAATTATGATTATTTAGTTCTGAACAGAAACCAGCAAAGGTTAAAAATTATCTTTCAAATGTTTATTTGTTTGTATGGGCCATTAACAACCTTAAGATACCCCCAAAGAGGAATTTTAGAGTTTTAACTTGAAGTTTTACCAAATTTCAAGTTTGAGATATCGAAGTCTGACATCAATTTCAAAGGTAAATATGGTAGATATGTATTCCACATATAAAAAAATATGAAAACATTTCTGGTTCCTTTGATAATCATGTGTAAAGTCTTCCCATTTTATCAAAATACGTGACTGGTAGGATTCCTTACATGCTGCTCTGTGGTACAGTGTGTAACCTGGTGTTCTGAGGTACAGTGTGTAACCTGGTGTTCTGAGGTACAGTGTGTAGCCTGGTACTCTGTGGTACAGTGTGTAACCTGGTGTTCTGGACACTTTGATGACGAGTACCGCAGTATGTTGTACTGATCAGAAGTAATGGTGGAAAAGGTTAATCCTGCTCAACGTTGATTTATCTTCAACATTAATATGGCCGCGAAAGTCAGAACACTGACTGGCAGGTTGTTAGTATTTAAAATTTTAGTTTCTTTGAGCACCACATTATCAAGATTTTGATTATAGGTACACTTTATAATATGCAGTTTTTAAGATTGAAAAAAACCCAAAATACTTCACAGTCAAAGAAAACGATCATCCAACACACTGAAGCCCGTAATCATAAAACTATTCTCATGCTTAAACTCAAAATTCTGTATTGAAATGATCGTTTGTCGTTTAAAATCTTACAATAAAATTCAATGTGTTAATATTTACCTACACTTGTAGCCGAGTAACGTTATAACTTTAATTTTTGATCCTGTCACAAGTAATCGGTAAATTACAAGAAAAATACTTTGTAGTACAAGTTTGAGTTACAAGTTAATTTTTTATGACCACGGGCCTGGTTCTTTCAAACTTCCACATATATATTCATACTTCCATTCTTTAAGAAGAAGGGAAAAACAGTTACACTGTACACAATAAATAACCGAGGGGCGTGGTCCTATCATACACAAGTATCCGAGTGGGTCTGGACGGAATGCTTCTTGAATCTATTTTTGTCTCCCTTGCCACCATGCTCAACACTCTGTTTTCGATGATGACCTACAAAATTAGAAATAATAATTACAATAAGGATGCATATATGTATGATTCTCTTTATTTTATGATTAAGTTCCTACCAATGGGTAGTATTTACGTTTTTTGATGATGACCTACAATATTAACAAGAGGCCCATGGGCCTTAACGGTCACCTGAGTCCTACAGTATTTATTTTTGTTGTTGAAATATGTACCAATTTGAGTAAAAAATAGTTAAGAATATGGTTAACTTAACTTTGTCAGGACCATGAGCTGATCATTCCTAGACCGATTTTCAGTGAGATCGGCCTATTAGAACTTGTTTTTAACTTTGAAATAAGTATTTACAAAATAGCGGTCATGGCAGCCAAATTGTATTTCTGATTGACCCGAAAAATAACAACACTTTGTCAGGACCATGATTCGATCATTCCTATCAAAGTTTCAGTTTAATCAGCCAAGTAGAACTTTACTTTAAGTTTGAAATAGTTTTTCAAAATGGCAGCCACGGCGGCCATATTGGATTTCTGATTGACCCGAAAAATAACAACACTTTGTCAGGACCATGAGGCGATCATTCCTACCAACTTTCAGTTCAATCGGTCCAGCAGAACTTGACTTTAAGTTTGAAATAGGTTTTCAAAATGGCGGCCGTGGCGGCCATATTGGATTTCTGATCGACCCGAAAAATAACAACACTTTGTCAGGACCATGAGGCGATCATTCCTACCAACTTTCAGTTCAATCGGCCCAGCAGAACTTGACTTTAAGTTTGAAATGTAAAATGTTAACGGACGACGGACGACGGACAACGGACGATGGACGACGGACGACGACGGACGAAAACGGATAGCAATAGGTCACTTGAGCTAAAGCTCAGGTGACCTAAAAATAATAATCATAATTAGCATGTAAAATTGTACATTTCCCTTTGTTTTACCACTAAGTTCCTACCAATGGGCAGTACATGTATTCATTTCATGACAAAATCCAGTGACGTGTTATTGAAACATGTACTTATAATTACCCAGTGTGACGAGAGCACTGGCAATGGCTACGCCTGAACTTCCACTGGGCGTCCAGTCCTCGTGCCCCGTAGGGAGCTGGACGAGGAGGGTGAGCACTGCTGCCTTCTGGGTAATAAGGGGCTCTATTGCCACCTGACTAGGTTTGTTGTTTATCTGTGAACCAATCAAACATTCCTGATCAATTAAAGTAAATGTAATTCAAATGTAAACTATCTTACAACTCACGTAGCTGAATTAATCAACACTGCTCTTACTCATTCAAATTTAAGAAATTTCTTTCTAAATGTACAATTTTTCTTAAAACCTTTTGTTAAAAAAGTATTTCTAAATTTTCATAAAATTCCATACAGATAAATCTGTTTTGTTCCAAATATTGGCTTTAATTAAAGTGAATATCCATACCTTTTTACGCTTTCTTAAATCCAAATTTAGATCTTTCTTTTCTGCAACATAATTATCAATTTTTCGCTCTATCTCCAAGGTTACTGTAGAAAATGGTCGACTGGCCATTTCTTCCATCTCTACAATCATACGCTGTAAAATAAGAAATCACCATTATACTAACTGATGATTTTATTCCCTCGACCTCTACAGTCATTGCATTAGAACTACATACACTTACACATCCAAAGCTTCCCCGGTAACTAGGATGAGACTGGTACGTTCTTAGGTGTTACATACACATAGGATGGCACCAAATGTTAAACTTTATGCCACAATACTCTAGACTGGCCCTCCGTCTCTAGAATATCATTTAGATATTTAATTATTTGGAAAAATAAATTAACTCTAATAATTTTGATCACTCGGATGTCTGTTTCTAGAATTCTAAACTAGGGGGGAGATAAGCTAGTTATAAAAGGCAGTTGAGAAATTCTTCATAGAAACTTTGGGGTTGGTAGCCAGTCTAGTAACCTCTGACAGGAGCATGTGACTGTAGAAGAGGATTCCTTGAGATATCAAAACTAATTTTACACAATCAGTGTGTTTATACAGAGTAAGATTTGACAACAAATAAAAGTATTTTCACAAAGTAATACAATTATCATATATATCACTAAGCAACACCACAACGCGTTTCTATAGTTACCTGTCTGCGTCTGTAGTTGTCCTATTTGTGTTTATATATATCACTAAGCAACACCACAACACGTTTCTATAGTTACCTATCTGCGTCTGTAGTTGTCGTATTTGTGTTTATATATATCACTAAGCAACGCCACAACGCGTTTCTATAGTTACCTGTCTGCGTCTGTAGTTGTCGTATTTGTGTTTATATATATCACTTAGCAACACCACAACGCGTTTCTATAGTTACCTGTCTGTGTCTGTAGTTGTCGTATTTGTGTTTATATATATCACTAAGTAACACCACAACGCGTTTCTATAGTTACCTGTCTGCGTCTGTAGTTGTCGTATTTGTGTTTGATTTTGTACAGAACTGCTGCTATGATGAGTAAGGACAGGAAACAACTGAAAAGGAAAGTACAGCACCAGTCAGTCACAGGTAGGGTGAAACTGACCGGCCAGTCACAGGTAGGGTGAAACTGACCGGTCAGTCACAGGTAGGGTGAAACTGACTGGTCAGTCACAGGTAGGGTGAAACTGACCAGTCAGTCACAGGTAGGGTGAAACTGACCAGTCAGTCATAGGTAGGGTGAAACTGACCAGCCAGTCACAGATAGGGTGAAACTGACCAGCTCAGGCATACATGTATACCAGTGACATTGGCCCCCAAGGTTGTCAGAGGTAACCAATTCCGTCTTTGCGTATTGCAGAGTTATCTTCTCTTGTGAGCAGGGATTGATTGTTACGTCATTGGTTTGTGAGAGTAACGCCATCAATTTTTGAGAAAACGATGTAATTTTCTCACACAAACCAATGACGTAACAATCAATAACTGCTAACAAGAGAAGATAACTCTGCAATACGCAAAGACGGAATAGTCCTTATTGTTAACATTGAATGCTTCAAGACACTAAACCAATACAATTCAAAAATATCAAAAATATTCTATAGTCAACTATTTAACAGTACACTGTTCTTTAACTGTTTCAACATTGAAAATACATAATTTTCTATATATTTTATTATATATTTATAATATATATAACTTTATATCTTAATTATTTTACAATGTACTTCAATTAATTAACAAAGAATTCTGATGAAAACAATGGCATTTTTTTTATTATATACTACACATACTACAAAACCCTTTACAGAGAAACAAAGCTTCGAACAACATATTATATGTAATTAACAGGTTAATGTATATTTCACCATCAATATTGGCTACTAATCACAGCTACAAGATCTCAGTAAAAAAGAAGTTTTCACATATCAAGATTATACCATTACATCTTGGTGTTATTTTGATCAATATACTTTTACATCTTGGTGTAATTTTGATCAATATATAACAAACAGGTTAATCAATGAAAAATAGAAAATGTTGATATGTGCTATGTTTAAGTACATGCTGAAAATTCATTCAATATTTTTTTACTGTACACTGGGAAATTTTTGCTCAGTCAACTATTTGCTACTCACCAATAAAATTGATATTTGCCCAGTATTAATTTTGTCCTTTTTGGTTTTTACTATTTATGTAAATATAACAGGAAGAATTAATCACTATTCCTCCCACTTACCCACTACCTGTTGTTGGCTCTATTTCCTGTTTAATCTACTATGTATGTAAATGTACTAATATTAACAGACATAAAAAATTCACCCTCATGTCAGAGGTCAAACAGGGTGAAAGTTCATCTGCAGTGAACATTTCCCGGTGTACAATTATTACACAAGCATGAATATTCCATCTAATCATAAAACAAATCTGCTTTATGTTAAATTACTAACTACAAAATAACTAGGTCGAAAAATCCACAGGAAGATGAGAGAGTGTGAGGAAAGGAAAAGTACAGGAAATGGAGGAGGTCACAAGTTTTATAGCCGGTGGCTAAAGTATCTTTCTTAGACCCTTAGCGTATCCATATTATGGTTGTACGGACATTATTTGAAATATTAAAAAAAAATCAGTTTATATAATCTTGGGTTTAATTGGAAATTATTTTTGACTACCTCCATTCGCCCATAAGTTTTCTTAATTTAGTCTGAACAAGGATTTCATTTTGTAATATATATTTTTTGAAAATATCATTTTATTTTTTAAAATCCAGGTATAAACGCTGTATAAGCAATACTAGAAATGTGCTTGTGTTCATCTGATGGTATATTGCTGTAGTTATATTTGTAGGTATAGCATGTGATATAAATTCTGTTTAAAGCACCTTGTTCTGAACTGGTGATTCTTAAAAGCTGTGCACATCGTACATGTGTCAACAAATGATAAATATGAAGTCAATCAAAATAGACAGATACCAACCTAGAGAAAATGGCAAAAAACATAACCAGATTGAGAGACAGCGATCTGACAAATGAAATCTGAAAATAAACCAACGGTTCATGCATTGTGATCACGAGAAAAACGTCCAAAACACCTCCATGGAGTTGACGCCATTGGAATTCCATGCATGCTGGTAACAAGGTCTGCATTCTGCATTGATTAATTTCCATTAATTTCTCAGATACCATAGACTGGCTTACCATTTATTTCATGCATGTGATAGAGAAGATGTGATAGAGCAAAGAAAGGGGACAGATATGCAAATATGTTCGGAGATGGAAAAGAATTCAACAAATATTCCCCCGAAGTAGACAATTAGTTTATTGTGAGACACTCGATCTTTCCAACACTCAGGTGAAATAGCAATAAGGTTTTGCTTCAGACAAAATGAACGAAGAGCAATAACTCTGACAACAGTGGGGCACAAGATCTGATTTCAGTATGTGACACTTCACCGTACCAACATACATAAGTACAGCTAGCTACATTGATGAACAAGCGTGAATTAGCAAGGATCTGATGTTTAAGACAAATTTTGGTATCAGAAAGAGGCTCATGAGATTTAACAGTCATCTTACTATCAGGAATTAAAACACGTTTTATTGGTGCCATGTTTTATTTGAAGGAAAATCTCATCTTAGATGGGTGTAATGCAGGGACAAATTTATATCCTAAAGTATACCGTTAATTCGTGTGTACAGTGCACACTCAGGTTTAGTGCGCAAATACGTTTTTTGGGGTCAGATTTGAAGAAGAAAAAAAATAGAAAAAAAAATAAAAATGGAAAAAAACAATCCGGAAAATAACCGGTATCAAACTGAGAGTAGCATCAAAGGTAGTTTGATGTTTATTACGCCGATTAATTAACGATTGATTTATTGGAGTGAACAAGCCTATAAAGGTCTCCCTCCATATGCTTGGAACGAGAGTTGATGATCTGCAGAAAAAACCCGAAGAAAGTGTAGCTAATTCCGATGCCAGAGAATCACTGATCAACTTATGTTTCTACATCTCAGCGGTTTTCCCATAATTATGAAAATGTAGTGTTTCAATTACCTATAGGCTCCATTCCATGTTAATTAGTCCTATTGTTTTTTTTTTTACCAAATCGCTAAGCTTTTCCCAGCTCACTTTCATGTTGTATTGTGTAGATTGAAATGTGCTGTCATCAAAAATTTGAGTAAGTGGAGAAAATTCTAGCTTCCCTTAATATCCTTTTAATCTATACAACTAATACAACAGAAATATGTGGGTAGGTGAAATGTTAGTAACAAAACAGTGAGAGAAAAAACACCCGAACCCCCCCCCCCGCGAAAAGTAATAACGGTATATATTGTAAAATAAATATGAAATTAATAGGTGTCTTTCTATTCCACCATGCATGAATACGGGAGAAGATAAATTGATGAAGTGGTGTTATAATGTACAGCCAACATAAACGACAGATAGAGACCACATGTTGTATTAGATGTTAAAATGGGTCAAAGGTGAAGGGATGAAGTTCACAGCATGCATGGAGGATTTCCAAGTCACTTCAGCTATTAGCCACGTGCGTCTATATACTTGGCTGACTGAAACCTTGGTAAAACATAACAGAAGCTACAGTAGAAAAAAACATGGGCTTAAACTTTCAGATAACATAGTTTTAAACATACTTGAAAAATAAAAAAATAAAATTAATCAATTACTTTTATTTCAATTCTAGTTCATGTGATACCTCACATTTAAATGACAGCTATTGTCATATATATATTTAAATATCAAAGTTGATTTTTCATCAAAGTTAATTGTTCATGTTTTTTTCTTTTGCAAGCACATCGGTCAGCCATGTATATGTAGTTTTCATAGATCAAAATATGCTAGCTTTACAGGTACAACACTCAGTTAACCTACCTGAAGAATGTCACAAAAAAGTGTACTAAATCTATTTTGGGAAACTGGGAAAATGAAATCTGAAGAAAAAGAGATAGTTTCTTTTGTAAATACAGGTAATATAATTAAACACAGAGTAACTGAAATCATACAACAATAAATCCTGCTCGAGTCAAACATACATGTCTCAAATACCCCTCCTAACTCAAATAGGTCCCCAGTCCTTTGACGCGGAAGTGATGATCAATGATGATCGAATGGTACGGTATACCCCTCCAAACTCGCTAAGAAATCATTTGATGCCAACCCTATGTAATCCTCATAAGCTCCCTTCCTAAGACCAAACAGTTTATCTGGTCAAACTTGATAACACCAGACAGGAAAACCTTAAGTTCTGTTTTATTATATTATTTCCATAAAATATCAAAAATAGAAACCTTAAAATATACAAAACCAATGTGAAAATTTGTAACAAACAAACTTCAGTGACTAGAAAAAGATTGCAGTGATTTTCAATTGGGTCCTTATACATGCCCCTTTCCCTGGATACTTGCTGCTGTTTTTATCAAAATCAATGCAAAAATCACGCCATTTCCCCCAAAATAATGCTTTTGTGGGCGATATTTTCCAGACTCAACAGGCACAGGCCCCAGAGGAAAATGAGTTCAAATATCACTGACTAAATTACATTTTTACAGTTAAGGTAAACTTCAATAACACAGACTGAAAAGTTCAAAACCCAAAGTACCGTAAAGATCAATAGATGGGGGATATGTTTTCATAACTAACAGTATACTACATACAGCTCAGTAAACACTAGACTAACATATATTTTTCACAGGTTCATTCACGATATAAAAGGTACATGATTATAAATTAAATATTAACAGTTACTGTAACAATATAGATTATGTACTTGTATATTTGATAAATAGTTCTTCTTGTCTCAAGGGTAGATTTACATATTACAAAAACACCAAACTGCCTTGCAGCCAGAACACAATCACGTAAATTAAGGCTCCCTGTTCCACTGCACTGGGTTTTTTCATACACAAAATAACCTCCCCTTAATATCGTTTTGGCTTTAACTGTACTGGCTATGTAGCTCAGTCAGTTAGAGAGATGGTATAACAATCTGAAGTCAGGGGTCTGAATCCTGGTCTATAGCCCCACTTAATCTTTTACACTCAGAAAAAAAATATTGAAAAATAATTTGCAATTCAAAAAAAATTCCTGCAAGGCTATATATAGTCATGCCAGAAAAACAGTTTTCAATGCATAGCAACAGTTTTTGGTAGTGGAACAGGGATCTTTAAAATTAATGATGTTTTTTTAATTATTTAAAAAATTATTTTAATGAAAGTTTCAAATGAACAAGAAGTATAAAAGATATTCATTTTATTTTATATTGAACTTTTTTTTAATGTTTTAAAATTTTGGGTAATTTCATTGCCTCTTTACCTACCTGTAACCAGAAAGGTGTCTGGAAATTATACACATAAACGAGGAACGTTGTGTTCTCGGACGAACCAAACGAGTAATCTTGATGCTCAAACTTGTCTCGGAAATAATTACACGAGTAACTCTCTACGAAGATGACCTCACTTTTACTCCCTGTATAAATAAAATTTAAAAATAATATCATGTCTAATACATCAAAAAGATACGTTCGTTTAGATTAAAGTGTGTTACTCAAACCTGGGTTACATGAAATCAGATACCTTAATTTCTGACAGCCTTTTCATTAAAGAAATGTAAAAATAAATTTGTTAAATCACGATTTTCATTAGAATAACAAATCTCAAGATTGCTGATTGAGACTAACTTTGAGTGACTAGAACTTACGAGTTCGGACAGAAATATTGAGGAAAGCTTTGTCGTCGGAGCAGTTGACCTTGAAATCCACATCTCTGTCACTCTGGAAATACGGAATACGAAACAGATACAGAAAACTCAAGGAACATAAAAATCTTCAAAATGAATGTTCCATACATTATAACAGAAATGATACAGTAGATGGGCTAATATAACACTCCAATTAAACTTGACATCACACAACAATGTAATGTAAACAGAACAGTTGGTTGTCTTTAAGGAGGCATCCAAGCTCTTTGTTTTGTATCACTAAAGAGGAAGAGTTCCAATATATATATATATATATATATGTATAGTACAAAAGTAATGGGACTCTCCCATTGATTGATTGACTTAGATTAGGCTTTTGTTTCCCTCTCAGTTTTCTCCAGATATACAAGGTCATTTGTATTTATTTAATAGGTTTTCAAGACAAGATGATCCTAGCAAGGACATCTGGGGACAACACAGATTAACTAAGGAATCACATTTTGTACTTACAGAGGACGGTATGTTCATAAAGTTGATCTGAGTGTAGTACTTGTCGTCGCGTTTGGACAGATTGAACGTGAACTGGTAGTCCGTCACTAGATCATCTGTGAAACAATGTACAAATACACATAACAATGGTATAACAGGTGATACATGTATGGAGAGATAGAACGTAAAATCCACTGACCGCCTCTAGTGACTCCATTCTTTGATGGACAACAGGTAGTCATTGTGTAGATTGTATTTTGCAAGTGTAAGACTACATTTTGGTGTTTGTTGAATATTTTGCTGTATTTATGAAATATAAACATAACAAGGTGTGTATCTTATGTAATGAGTAACATAATACACGCTCGGTAAGCAAGTTGTCTCGTATAATGTTGAAATTAAAGTCTACTATATTTCAAAATGTTTCTTTTAATTTTGTTTGATTTATTTGTTCAGTATTTATATTACAATTTATTACATACTTACTAATAAATACGGGGATTTTGTATATGCGATACGACACAATTGCTCTAACCCATATCAGCCCTCGCCGTATCACACCCCAAAACCTGTATCAGCCCGCAAAACCCATATCACCCCCCTTTTGGAAAAAAAATCGTTTTTCAATAATTCAAAAATAAAAATAAATCATAAGATAGTAGTTTTTATTAGTAATTATGTAATAAACAGAATAAAACATGCCTTTTTCCATATCACACCCAGTATCAATCCTCGACCAATATCAGCCCTCGGGCCTTCGGCCCTTGGGCTGATATTGCAGTCTCGGGTTGATACTGGATGTGATATGGAAAAAGGCATGTATTATTCTCTATTTACTGAATGTGATTTTTGAAAAATATATATGCAAAAAAAAATATCTACCATTACAAAACCCTGATACATAATCATGTGTAGTGATTGTCTGTGTGGAGTGTCATAGTTTAGTTTATTACATACCTACTAATAAATACTGTTTGTTTTGTATATGCGATATGACACAATTGCTCTAACCTATATCAGCCCTCTCCGTATCACACCCCAAAACCTGTATCAGCCCTCTCCGTATCAGCCCACAAAACCTGTATAACACCCCTTTTGGAACACTTCTAATTTTTCCAATCTACCACCAATGTCATTCGGCACCCTTGTTTACCACCAGTTTAACAATGGCTGATGCTGAAAAACGGCGACGAAATGGGGAGTGAACATTGGAGTGTTTTGCCAATTGGATTCTTGAGTAAGAATATCTGACTGAGCCGGAGAACAATCAACCCACTGTGCCAGAACTGTCTGCCGTCATTGGTACGATTGACGATGTGGCGGCAGAGGAAGCAGAGCCTCAATGATTCAAAAGTAAATAGATCATAAGATAGTAGATCTATCCATATTTTATAAGTAAGTAGGTAATAAACAGAAAAATATTATTATATATTAGTATTATTCTCTATATATACTCACAAAAACATGTCCCTCCTTTCCTCGGGTCTCCGTAATACTTGTGTGGTACATCACATCTGAAATGGAGTTGAAGCATACAAGTCAGTAAAAGAAACCCAAGTTACTTTGCTGAATTCCTGTTCCTGTCAAAATTCATATCAATAACCAGATATAATTTATCTTAAATCGATTCACCTGAAAGTCAAATGACACACACCAGTAACAATCACCGAAGCATGAGCTTTGTACAACAGAATAACAAAAACTTACAATTTTTGACCCCCGGACCTATTTGATAGCCCTTTTTTCCAGCATGTTATCAAACAAATACAATGACCCTTAGCCTTTCAGTTAGCAGAAGAAATTGTTTGAAGATCTTAACTCATTTGACTGCTATGAACTTGAAAGTCAATCATGATATAGTCCAAATGTCCAGACCACAAGCTTCTTTGTAATTCTTCAGAAATTAGCCCTTTCAACACTGTAGACCATAATGGACTCATCCAGATCAATGCATGGTAGATTCTACCAAATTTACATAGGGGTGAAAAGGTTTAAACTTTAACTTGTTTGACCCCCCATGAACAACCATGGAAGTGTTGTACTTACTTTTCACACCTGTCGCCCACCACACCCCTTGTCCTACAGAAACACACGCCGGTCTTGTTGTCACACGTGTTGGCCTGTCCGTTGCATTCACACACTGCCAAATACAGGTAAACCATCTAAATATAATCTTAATCTTTTGGTACAAATGTGTAACTGATTTCAGAAACAGACTTTATCAAAAGAATCCTTTGTGCATTTTCTCAGAAAGTATTGGTGCATGTACAGTTTCCCACAATTTATTGCCAAACCCCTTTACAATGCCAACATTTCTCTGGAAAAAAAGGCAGTATAACAAGGTTTTACTGACAGTGTATAATGTCTCTGTAAAATATGGTCATAACCAACTTACCTGAGCATTTGCCTCCATAACCAACTTACCTGAGCATTTGCCTCCATTTGTTGGATCTCCATAGAAACCGTCCAAACAGGATTCACAATGTTCACCTATTATATAGATAACAAGATATCTAACGTAAAATTTCAGTCATTGATATACATATTATCATAGACAGTGTAACATTGTATTTGAAGTTATCAAGTGAGTTTCAACATCATTATCTTAACTAGAGTATGGTTGTAAACATAATTACAAAATTTGAATTATGAAAAATATAATTTCATCTTTTGAGAAAAAACGCTTTAGTATAGACGTATTATGTAACACTGGTTAGCTGATATACATTAATGTCTTTTACTTGATAGGGACGAGAAGGCTTTAATGAGAAGGGAGATAACTCTATACTGACCTGTTGTCGTGCCCTGACAACTCTCACAGGCGCCGGTCTCATTGTTACATGTACTGTGACCATTACACTGGCAGGCTGAAAAATACGCAGGTCATCACTTCTCTTCTGAGATTTATAACTATTTTACTTCAATACAGTACTCAGCAAATATCATATAAAAAAGTTGGGACATTTTAAGTTTTACTTGTAGAAAGTTTGCATCTCTTGTCATTTATAATTTACCCCATATTTGTGTTCTTGTTAATACATATAAAATGTGTCTTGATTGAATAAAAAATACAAAAACTTGAAAACATGTGAACACTAATTTGTTGTGAACTATTTACCAGACTAGTGTGAAACATTATAAAACCAAAAGTAATTCATGGTGATGCAGGAAGAAATACTAGCACCACGAGTTTGATCTAGGTAAAATACTGTGAAAATCTTTTGCAGTGAAACGAAATTTCTACATTCATTAAGGAAAAATATTCCATTATAAATCTGGTGTAAATACATAGCATAGGTATTTCTAGGAATTATTGAAGAAGATGTTATGTGTCCTACCTGGGCACTGAGTGAAGAACCAACGGTCTGCCGGACACTGTGTGTTGTTGGCCTGTATGGGGTTGTGTCCCGGCCCGATGGCCCCACCCTCCGTACACTTTCCTATCCCCGTGTTACTGGGGTCGTTACACCACCCACACATCGGGTTGGACTGACATTTCTCACAAGTCAACAAGTCAGCACAGCGCGTGGCTGAAACATCCAGATGTGAATAATTTGGAAATGAAATCGGAAATAAGTTTTTTTATATATATTTTTTTTTCATTCAATTAACTTTTTCGGAAAAAATATACACGAAAAACATGGTTCTATAATACAGCCTTTCCATCACAACATTAGGATGCTACTCGGGTTTAGATTTAGAAGAGTTGTAGGAGTGTTTACCTTCCCGTTTGACAACCTACCTGCACATCGATTCTCACTAGTGGTCCACTCCATGCACTGTCCGTAGATGAAGGAGGCGACGTAGGAGTTGGTCTCCACACAGCGCCGTTTGTTGGCACACCACATACAACTTGAGCGTGTACAGTTTTCACAGTCGGTGTTGATGTAGCAGGGCTGTTCGCAGGCTGTCTCGCTGCTGTAGTCGCTATCCTTGGGCGTTTCTACAGCAGAAATCACAGGTATAAGGGCTAATGTCATCTTGACATATAGAGTGTACAACAATGGTAAACTGGCTTATATTTTTTTGTATTCCTTCAATGCAAAGGGCCGAGTTAACAATTCTTCCCATCAACATCAGGTAATATTTCAGGAAGTTATCGCGTAGAAGTGAAAAACGAAGGGACAGAAGAAATTATTACTAAGGGGCTGAATGCAGAGCCTACTGGGCCCTAATGATACATCACCTCATATCAGATTTACAACTCTGAGTAAGATTTAAAGAAATATCTTCAGTAAAAGATTATTATGGATTCACCAATTGTTTGTCGATGATGATAGGTCATCGCGTTTGACACAATGTTGTTCGTCTGTCGCATTGGTCATCACATTATCACACTATGATCAACAGTGCTACCCTAAATTGCACTTTTTGTCCCGACATCAGTTACTTATTACTGCTACCTGAATAGTACATTTTCCACGCTAACAGAGACCAATCTATGCTGCCTCTTTCTCAGTCATTTGTTAGTGGGATCTCTGACTAAACAGTTTGATAAAATTCATCAAAATTATTATTGTTATTAATTCAGCAATTTTTTAGTTTCAGATTTTTACAAAAGTCTGTACATCAGATTCATATCCAGTTACAATACTAACAATGCTTCTTAATATCTTCTTGAAAAAACTGACAGTAATGTGACACTTGTGTAATTATTCAAACTACACTGTCAAAAGTCTAAGATAACAAGGCTGCAATGAGGTCATGTTCCTACATCTGTATGTTACATTGCTAAAATACTGCTGTTGAATTCTGAATGTTTATATCATCTTTGTAAGCTGTTTATAAAGTTCCATTAGGAAAGGTATTTTTCAAAAATGACTTATCGAAGCTAATTCTATACATTGTAATATCATGCTAATATAAGAGTTTTATATTCACAATTCTTGGCCAGCGGTAGGAGGTCCTTTAGATGAGATTGGAGAATGAAAACTAAGAAACAATAAAACGTTGGATCTGCAGTGATTACCCGAGTCCATGAAGGCCATTGGTTGGTTAGGCATACACTTCTTGTTCTTCCGGTTCCACTTACAATGGTCAACGAGAGCACAGGCAAAGCAGTTGTGTATGGTGTCACACTTTTTGCTATATTTAGTGGGGCACTGTGCGACGTCTCTCACCAGGGACTGTCAATAGGGATACAAGGCAGTGTTTAGATGTTACACCTACTGGTCTTACTTCTAAATATCTACCGGTACATCATACCTTGTGTACAGGGACCTCGGACACAGGTCAAGCAAACCTTACTCTCCACAGAAGCATAACTGGGGTTTTCAATAACTTTCCAATATTAAACTCAAAATCAGAATATTTCTTTTCTAATCCCATTTAAAATAGAATAGGAAACTGGAATTATTGTATTATACATGTAGCAAGTAAGTATACAACACTGAGAGCATTGTCTCAGTACGTGCTTGTCTAGAATGTCTAACGACCCGAAGAGTTGGAGATTTGTTTATCAGTAGGAGTGTAGTTCTTAAGGACATGTTAAACTTACATGCAGTAATTAGTTTATTCTGTGAAATTATTTATATTTACTTGATAGGTGTATCATGGTTTACAAGTATTTCCAGACTGATTATACATTTATGTCGGTCTTTGTCAATACAGCTCTGTGAATATGTCACATGACCATGTGATTCTACAGCCTGTTTGAGGTGGTAGGTGTGTGGAATGCTTCATCTGTACCCTGAGATGTCCTAGTACACAAGGTTTGATGACACGTTACACATAAAACAAACCCTGATCACTGATGTGCCTGCAGCTGTATCCCCCCTTGGCACTCGGACCCCAGTGGCATTCTTGAAGTGATTCGCATGCCCGACAGGTGTGGAGGTTGCGACATGCTAGAGCAGGGTTATCTTGGCACTGAGTAATGTCGGAAACCAGCGACTACACAAAATAAAAAGCAGAAAACAAATCTACACACAGAGAACCACCAACACAAACACAAAAATATCAAGCTACATCGTATGGTGTTTAAGTCTGACAAACTATCTGGCATGGAAAACAGAGGAAATGTTGAGCATACTGTAGATATCCGGGAGTAAAGAAAACATTTCACCTGGAAATATGCTTTAATCTACACGTATTGTGATTGTACTTTTAATCCTTGACTTCACAGGTCAGACTTAAACACCTCAATGAACACTAATGGATAACTATTCCACGTTTACTATAAAAATAATGCAAAAATAACAAGATGAAACATGATTAATTTCAACATTCACAAAGTAATTTAAACCTTATTCAGAAATCACGGGGATTAAGAATAAGCAGGGTTTTCAAGCTATAGAATATGTCTTTTTATGAAGTTTGTCATTTTTATTAATTATCGATCTTCTTTATAAGAGGTCCAGAGGGCCTGTATTGCTTATCTAAATAGTTAAGCAATATAGGTAAACCTTAGTAAAAGTTAGATTGCAAATATTTTCCCAATTTCAGGCCCTATCTCCCAGGGGAACAAACCCCTTCCTTTAAGACTATGACTTAAAAAGACTTTATTTACTATTATGGGCCCAGCCCATAGGAGAGCGACACTCTTCCTTAACTTGACAATGGATTTCTATTATGCTTTGCCTAAATGGTGAGGAACCCATTTGTTTTCATGTTATGACACTTGGAATTTTAGGCCCTTCTAGAAGACTTAATAAAGTTAAAGCAAATTGATATGGAACATTTTTTCTTCAATAATTACATATTGATTTCATAAAATGTAAATACCTATAGTGCAGTTAATATAACCATTAATTCAAATTTTGGTTCATATTTGGACAGAATAACTGTAAATACAAGATATGAATTATTTACAAAAATATCCCAAAGATATATTAATGAGGGATCCGGATTGGCAAGAGGAATAATAACCACTCCCCCCACTTTTTTGACGGATCATCATTACGCAGTTGTCAAATTTACATTTACATTTATATTTTCAATGGGTATTTCACAAGCATTCTCAAAAACTGGACAACACATGTTCACAGCCAAATATTGGTAATTGTAAGGTGAAAATGGAATGATAACAAAAGAACATAAATGTAAGGTGAAAATGGAATGACAACAAAAGAACAGTCAATAAAATCACAAACACCACAAGCATCATGCAGTTTGACTTGCAGCACAAAACTAAAATCTTAGGCACAATATTATAATATATATGTATATAAAACAGCATCAAACAGGCTCATCAATAAATCATTGTAATAGGGTACCACGTGCACCTGTCTGAGCTGAACACTCCAGACACTGTCTACACCGAAGCTTGAACAGGATCCAATAGCCATGTTTTCCTGTTTACTGCTAGTGTAATTATTTGTCCTTGAGGTGTTCAGTTTAGACAGGTGCAACTGTACAGTACTACATAGAAAACTGTGCAATCTGACTCTCAGTGAGACCAGCAGATCTGACCAGGAGAGACTATGTGATGGACCATCAGTTGGCTCTCAGTGAGACCAGCAGATCTGACCAGGAGAGACTATGTGATGGACCATCAGTTGGCTCTCAGTGAGACCAGCAGATCTGACCAGGAGAGACTATGTGATGGGCCATCAGTTGGCTCTCAGTGAGACCAGCAGATCTGACCAGGAGAGACTATGTGATGGGCCATCAGTTGGCTCTCAGTGAGACCAGCAGATCTGACCAGGAGAGACTATGTGATGGGCCATCAGTTGGCTCTCAGTGAGACCAGCAGATCTGACCAGGAGAGACTATGTGATGGGCCATCAGTTGGCTCTCAGTGAGACCAGCAGATCTGACCAGGAGAGACTATGTGATGGGCCATCAGTTGGCTCTCAGTGAGACCAGCAGATCTGACCAGGAGAGACTATGTGATGGGCCATCAGTTGGCTCTCAGTGAGACCAGCAGATCTGACCAGGAGAGACTATGTGATGGGCCATCAGTTGGCTCTCAGTGAGACCAGCAGATCTGACCAGGAGAGACTATGTGATGGGCCATCAGTTGGCTCTCAGTGAGACCAGCAGATCTGACCAGGAGAGACTATGTGATGGGCCATCAGTTGGCTCTCAGTGAGACCAGCAGATCTGACCAGGAGAGACTATGTGATGGGCCATCAGTTGGCTCTCAGTGAGACCAGCAGATCTGACCAGGAGAGACTATGTGATGGGCCATCAGTTGGCTCTCAGTGAGACCAGCAGATCTGACCAGGAGAGACTATGTGATGGGCCATCAGTTGGCTCTCAGTGAGACCAGCAGACATCTGACCAGGAGAGACTGTGTGATGGGCCATCAGTTGGCTCTCAGTGAGACCAGCAGATCTGACTAGGAGAGACTATGTGATGGACCATCAGTTGGCTCTCAGTGAGACCGGCAGATCTGACCAGGAGAGACTATGTGCTGGGCCATCAGTTGGCTCTCAGTGAGACCAGCAGATCTGACCAGGAGAGACTATGTGATGGGCCATCAGTTGGCATCGGTTTGTACTAACAATGCCACTTAATCAAAATAATATGTATTAGATATGTTGTAGATAATTTTGTATCCTGCTAATATCTAATTCAACTCTGACATCATTTCCAACTCCTAGCTGTGGTAAACTTGCAGTAATACTAGTAAGATGCAGTGATTTTTTGATTTTTTTTTAATACTCATAAATGTTTATCCCAAACTTTTTATGTGTAAACTTCTACAAACTCATGTATGGCTTTGTCTTCATTTCCTGTACAGATGATCAATTATGACAAATGACATTGATTATCAGAACTGATAAGTACTTTATCCAATCATTGGCTCATCACTTATGGACATCCGGTCAGAATGGACAGGTTTTAAAGAATCATTCTGTCAGACTGGTCAGGTTTCTTTTAGAATATCCATGAATAAGATCACACAGTTTTCACAGGAGTACTAACAAGAAACATCATGTAAACAAATTGTAGGACATTTTATAATAGAAAATTCATCTTTCAATGCTAGCAAAATCTGAAAAAAAAAGAGTTAACACAGTGATCACTGACAGTTTTCTTTCTTTTCTAACAACAAAAGTTGATAAGTTCAGGCAGAATCACGTAATACTATAGGTGAAGCTTGCCATTTCGGAGACATTAAAGAGAGGTGACTATCCGAAAACATTATAGATATTTTATCATTAAAGAAAAGTTTCATCAATAAAGACCTCAAAATCTGACAACAGTATAGATGTTTCCCCATTAAAGAGAAGCGTTTACTTGACACAGAAGTGAGTGTATTGACAGGACAGGTAACTGTACAGTTATTGTTACACCACTGACTTGGTCATAGAAGTGAGAGATTACATGTCTGTCCTTGACGGGACAGGTAGCTGTACAGTTAGTGTTACACCACAGACTTGGACATAGAAGTGAGAAATTGCCTGTTTGTCCTTGACAGGACAGGTAACTATACATTTATTGTTACACTACTGACTTTGACATAGAAGTGAGGGATTACCTGTTTGTCCTTGACAAGACAGTTAGTTTTACACGTTTGTCCTTGACAGGACAGTTAGTGTTACACCACTGACTTGGTCATAGAAGTGAGAGATTTCCTGTTTGTCCTTGACAAGACAGTTAGTTTTACACGTTTGTCCTTGACAGGACAGTTAGTTTTACACCACTGACTTGGACATAGAAGGGAGAAATTACCTGTTTGTCCTTGACAGGACAGGTAACTGTACAGTTATTATTACACTACTGACTTGGACATAGAAGTGAGAGATTACCTGTCTGTCCTTGACGGGACAGGTAACTGTACAGTTATTGTTACACCACTGACTTGGACATAGAAGTGAGAGATTACCTGTTTGTCCTTGACGGGACAGGTAACTGTACAGTTATTGTTACACCACTGACTTGGACATAGAAGTGAGAGATTACCTGTTTGTCCTTGACGGGACAGGTAACTGTACAGTTATTGTTACACCACTGACTTGGACATAGAAGTGAGAGATTACCTGTTTGTCCTTGACGGGACAGGTAACTGTACAGTTATTGTTACACCACTGACTTGGACATAGAAGTGAGAGATTACCTGTCTGTCCTTGACAGGACAGTTAGTGTTACACCACTGACTTGGACATAGAAGTGAGAGATTACCTGTTTGTCCTTGACAGGACAGGTAACTGTACAGTTATTGTTACACCACTGACTTGGACATAGAAGTGAGAGATTACCTGTTTGTCCTTGACAGGACAGTTAGTGTTACACCACTGACTTGGACATAGAAGTGAGAGATTACCTGTTTGTCCTTGACGGGACAGGTAACTGTACAGTTATTGTTACACCACTGACTTGGACATAGAAGTGAGAGATTACCTGTTTGTCCTTGACGGGACAGGTAACTGTACAGTTATTGTTACACCACTGACTTGGACATAGAAGTGAGAGATTACCTGTTTGTCCTTGACGGGACAGGTAACTGTACAGTTATTGTTACACCACTGACTTGGACATAGAAGTGAGAGATTACCTGTTTGTCCTTGACGGGACAGGTAACTGTACAGTTATTGTTACACCACTGACTTGGACATAGAAGTGAGAGATTACCTGTTTGTCCTTGACGGGACAGGTAACTGTACAGTTATTGTTACACCACTGACTTGGACATAGAAGTGAGAGATTACCTGTTTGTCCTTGACGGGACAGGTAACTGTACAGTTATTGTTACACTACTGACTTGGACATAGAAGTGAGAGATTACCTGTTTGTCCTTGACGGGACAGGTAACTGTACAGTTATTGTTACACTACTGACTTTGACATAGTAGTGAGAAATTACCTGTTTGCCCTTGACGGGACAGGTAACTAACTGTACAGTTATTGTTACACCACTGACTCGGACATAGAAGTGAGAGATTACCTGTTTGTCCTTGACGGGACAGGCAGCTGTACAGTTGTTATTACACCACTGACTTGGACATATAAGTGAGAGATTACCTGTCTGTCCTTGACAGGACAGTTAGTGTTACACCACTGACTTCGACATAGAAGTGAGAGATTACCTGTTTGTCCTTGACGGGACGGGTAACTGTACAGTTGTTATTACACCACTGACTTGGACATAGAAGTGAAAGATTACCTGTTTGTCCTTGACGGGACAGGTAACTGTACAGTTGTTATTACACCACTGACTTGGACATAGAAGTGAGAGATTACCTGTTTGGACATAGAAGTGAGAGATTACCTGTTTGTCCTTGACGGGACAGGCAGCTGTACAGTTGTTATTACACCACTGACAGTTAAAAGCACTGGACAGACATGATGGACAGGAGGTGAACTTGGGGCACACATATTCTTTGCCTGGAAAAAAAAGAAATCAATGTCTAAATGTAGAAGCTTTTGAGCTAAATCTATTAAAATTTGTTTTCACTTGATAAAGTTAGATTAAAATGGTTTAAATAAACATTAATGGTGAATTGGGTAAAAATATATCTGTGCCCAATGGTTTCAATATTCATAGAAGCTCGGTCATATCATAACACTGAAATAGGACTAAGGCCATTACAGGATTGGCTCTGGGATGAGGACTTGCAATAAAACCAGTTTCCAATAGAAAACACACAGAATTTACTGAAATAGTAGATATTTACAATGTGTGGTGCATATATGTCCATGAATGTAAAAGTCACACTTTGATAGGAACTCAGAGTTTATACAATGTTCAATCCGATTAAAATCATATGTTACATGGCTTCGTTAACTTCGTACTTCGCCTGACGTCTGAATGTGCCGCGGTCAGGGTCACGTTCAAGTGACCTTTAGATGAACCAATCAGAAGTGCGCTGGCAAAATTTGCCAGAGAATCGGAATATCATGGTCGATAGATAAATAGCGAGGGGTATCAAACAGATTAGTTTTCCAAAACAAATATGGCGGCGGGAACTGACGTTTCTACAACGCTACAGAAAACGTACCCATTGCTTAATAATTGCGTAGGCAACACCGCCATACAGTCTTTCTTCTCTAATAATGTTTTGAATATCTTTTTCTGTTCGGGTTGCAGACGATCAATCTCAAATAACTTCAGAACTTTCGCACCCGCTGTAACACACCAGTTGTGGTTACTACAGATAATTCTCATCAATGTCCGCCATATTTGTTACAACTCCGAGTGCCCTTTTGAAAGAGGGTCTCTGATTGGTCAAAATTTAATGAGTATTTATAAATATAAAGGTCACCTGAACGCGGCACACTCAGATGTTCAGGCGGAGCCATGTAACAGATGATTTTAATCAGATTGTACAATGTTCAACTTGTTCTAGATTAATGTTGATGACCATGGAGCTATACAAACATATGACACATGGTAGACCAGTATAGATGATGATGTTACCGTTATCACTGTCACACTTGGATATCTCCGAGGAGTTGCTGAGGCCGTCGAGGATGGCGTCCGACTTGGAGCTACAGTACGAGTTACTGACCCACACACACTGCACCCCCTGTTTCGCCGCCAGGCACGCCTCTTTAGTCTTGTGGAATGTGCAGTTACCTGGAAAAGGTCAAATCATCGTTACTGATAAGTACAATAAATCCTCCCTGACTGGAACACAACAGGGATCAATAATTCACAACAAGCAGTTATCAGATTACAACAGGTGTTCTAGTTAAGTAGAAATGTATACAGTTTATCCGTGTAACAGATCTGGTCTTTAAAGGTTTATACATTTCACTGGGTCCTGTATAGACATGACCATATAAGGATCATTGAAACCAGATACTCAAAATTCCTTCTACACTTATTTAACATTTATAGTTCATGAATGATACGTAACAGTTGAGGAATAAAATCTCCTATTCCATGCTGTATCATCTTACTTACATCATGATGATGTGGTTTTCCTATCGTGATCATGAGTTGATGCAGAAATTACAGTACGTGTACTTAGACGTGGACAGTGATAAAATCACAATAATAGGACTTGTTCTCTTTGGTAAATTCAGTTTTTGTAGTGTAGACATGATATCAGTACAGATCTATTGATCAATGATATTGGTGACAGTTATTTTCTATTTCAGTAGAGGTGTATGACAAGGACAGCTGTTGTTTCTGGTCATGTTTTACTTAAGAACTGACAGCCTAGCTGGTATCATTGGACAAGCTATATAGTGATAAACTATGGTTCTTGTCATGTTTTACTTAAGAACTGACAGCCCAGCCGGTATCATTGGACAAGCTATATAGTGATAAACTATGGTTCTTGTCATGTTTTACTTAAGAACAGACAGCCTAGCTGGTATCATTGGACAAGCTATATGTAATACGACGAGGAATAGTGATAATGATAGTGCCGTCGCCGGGGCTCGAACCCGTGACCCTTGGCTTTCCAGCCAGATGCTCTACTGCTGAGCTGAAGGGCAATTCCCTACAGCTGACGCTTGTAAGGCAACTTAATCAATACACATCTTTTACATATATATCGATAAACAAATCTTCAAATCTTCAGGTAGTTAGACATACTAGCTATCGGGTCTATTGTGATACTCACCAGGTGTAAACTTGATCAGGTTGTTTTGCATGATGCCATTAAACCCGCCTATTATATACATGCTAGGTACATCATTCCTGTAACAAAACAAAATTTGTATTCAAATCAAACATTCAAAACTGTTATACCATTCAGCCTCAGACAGTCCATAATGGCAATTACTTCAGATTTACATGGATATGTTCAGGTGGTAGGGTAAACTAGCCTGTAACGACTATTTCGTATACATATTTCATGGGGTTCCGATAAAAAAACAAAGTTTCTGATTATTAATTTATAAGTAAGCACTTTTCTGTCATTGCAATTCATTCATTCGTTTGCTTAAAAATCTTTCAAATGGTCATCTTTATGTTCCTCACTCAATATAGAATATACCGTAACTTCACGAAAGGGCGTGATACAAAATGTTTGATCACGATCTAGATACATACAAGGTGTAGAAGACTGCGCTGTGACCGTAGCGGGCTCCAAACTCTGGCAGGGACGGGGACTGGAGGGTGTACCACGAGTTACACTCTGTACAAACAGACAAACATCAGTGATAAACAACAGTTGGTTTTACAAGCCTGAAATTTTCATAATAAAGAACAATGACACAGGATAAATCCTGCTTTATTTTCAAAATGCAATGAAATCACAGGAAATCGTTGACATACAATCATAAGTGTCTTACTTTGAGCTTTTATAGATTCTATTCTGAATATTTAATGAAGGTGATGCTCAGTTAATATAATAAATAAAGTTTGACCGAAAACTGTAGTTTAGCACTTACAACGACAAACTTGGCAACTCTGACTTTTACCATGAAACTTGTATAAATCTCTATGAGAAGTTTTAATCTCAAATAATGGTCTAGTCATAAGTATCATAACAGATCCTAATTACCCATTAATTAGAAAATGGTTATTACCAAAACCCAATAGAAATTACAGCATGGCATTTAATTAAGCAATGTTTACACTGTACACTTTTTTCACCCTCTGGCCTATTTTTTCACCCTTTGGGCTAATTTTTCACCCTCTGGCCTATTCAAAACAAATTTGATGGTTTAACTTTTACACGATATAGTTATTATGCTAATGGTAGTGTTGCATTATTATATAACAGATGACATTTAGTTGTAAACAATGTTATTTACATCTTAGAACCCCTATAGTTTGTATAAGTGCTTTGTTAGTTACCTATATTGTAGACCATGAGATCGGAGGAATAGCACTTGGCTCCGTAGCTGATCGACGTGTCATTGTGTGTGTTACCTCCGAACACGAAGATAGACCCGCTCAATATCGCTGCTGAATGTAAATATCTTGGACTGCCATTGCTTCTAAGTATAATCCTGAAATGTTCAAACACACACATCAAAGTTAAAATATCATCTCTACATTTTTTCCTGAGTAACAGTATCACAGGGGCAGAACACTACATACATCTGTCCAATACGATGTACCATCTACTTGGTCAGACCTGTAGTATTACAAACAGACACATTATCTTTATCATCCGATGTCATGCCAGGAAGATTCAGAAGAGACTTTATCTGTACATCTTTTCAAGAATCCAGATGGAGTGGCTTCAAAATGATACTTTTCACTATATACCTGGTAAATCATTTAAAATTTCTCCTTAAAACCTTATTCCAAATACTTCTTATTAATAAAATTCACTTAATCACAATTTGAGTGAAGTTTGAGAGATACTGACCACTTCCTCTGTCGTGGAATAAAGCCATACATCTGATCAGTAAGCTGGTAGTTGGGGTGGCTGTCGGAGTGGTAACCCCCATACACGTATATTATCTGTGAGACGGGGTCGTATACACTGGAGTGGCCGTAGCCCCCCTGTATAATAGCACCACTGGTACGCGGGATAGTCCATGTCTTATTCGCTGCAACATACACAACAAAAGTTACAGTGTATTTCACCTTTCTCATGGAGTTGTAGATTTGCGGTGATGACACAATGCATGTTCAATAAAATGTCCAAAGTAACCGAAAAAAGTCTCAAACAATTGCTATTAGAAAATGCCAAAACCCATATCTCTCATATATCTGCATCTCAAAATTGAATATAAACATAGTCTGTTATGAGTATGTATCAGGCAAAGTTGCAGATAAATTCGACCATCCCCCCCCCCCCATTTTTTTTCACATTCCAACAGTTGTACCAGATAAGTCCTGTGTGTACTCTTTCCAAACAAACTAACAAATGTAAAACATCCATGACCTGGCATTCCCCTCAAAAACTTGGAATAGTCTATGCATGCACATACGTAAATATGGACATAGTATTCAACGTAGAAGTAGATTAGAACATGTCATGTTCGAACTGTATTTTAAATTCTGTTGAATAAATATCAAGTCATTACCAAAATGTCTTTCCAGGAGAAATTTGGAAAAGGTATTGGACATCAAAGCTTCATGTACTGATATGGAACAGGAGTCTTATGTAAAAGCAAATTTTATGTTACCTCCTTGCTTCAGTACTAACCTAAATGGTACTCCTGTACCCGGTTCTTGTACCCATATATCGGGCTGTGGCCAAATATGATGTACATGATCCCATTAATGACGTGCGCTGTGTGACCCGCAACAGCAACAGGAATAACACGCTCCTTTTCCACGGAGGAGACGTTCCATGTGTTGGTCCGGATGTTGTAGATGTACATCTTCCTGGAAACGTGAGGTTGGTCCCTACCCACTACACCGCCATACATGTACAGCTGGTCCTGGGGACGACAAATAGCACAAGATGAAGGAAGAAATGTATAGTCATCCTGGATCATACATTTACATAAGAATAAACAGCTGTTTATAGATTTCATTGTATGCTCCCGCCATAAAATGGGGGGGGGGGGGGGGGGGGTATAGTGTTGCCCATGTNATGGTGACGGGGGCATTCTTGTCTTACAGACAATTTCTAGTTTTGTTTATTAAATTCTACTTCTCTAGCTACTTCATTTCTCAACATATTTTGATGAAAGTTTGTACACAATATCAGTTGTTTTATATCCAGAGACATTAGAAATCATCAGCCTCTTTTATACAGTACACTGTCTCAATATGTTATGGACAGAAAAAACCTGATGAATATTAAGATCATGTTATCAACTTGAAGTAATAGTGCCTTGTGTGTGAACATATTTCACGGTATCAAGATCAAAATTATTATAACTATTTATAGAACATCAAACGCTGGAACTAATTTCACATGGTGACGGGGGCATTCATGTCTCTCAGACATTTTCTAGTTTTTCTCATATTCATCAAACAGAATAAACAATACATATGTCTGCCAAAAAATAGTACAGTAACTAGAAGTGAATGCAGTTACTAATAGAAACATTTCCCCTAGTTACACACCTGATATCCCACCAGGGTGTGGCCGTATCTGGTGGCCGGCCGTACACTCCCCGTGGGTGTCAACGGCTGCCAATTGTTGGTTAGAGGGTAGTAGCTAAAACAACAAAAACACCAGTAACACATGAAACAAGAGCTCACAACAATGCAGCTAAGTAATTAACTGTTCAAAGAATAACAGAAGATATAGTCAAGTCCACAAAAGGTGATACAAGTATCAAAACATGTATTTTGTTTTCAAAATTTGGTTTCAAATTCTACACAACAATTTTTGAAACTAAGGAGCATCCATGGCATTTTTTAAAAAAAATTACAGTGAATTCAACACCCGCATCAAAACTGTCACCCTTCAGGGGATTTTGGCATTACAAGTAAAATTGAAAACAGGTACAAAAATGTTTCCTTTTTTTAATTGATTACCTTGAAAACACCTCAAGATTTTGGCATCATAACTAAGTACAGACCAGAAAAAAATATCAAAATGGAAACCCTTTTATCACTTATCTCTAATTGAAATGATTGATCCTTCAGGAACCTACAAGCAAAATATCAGCATCTAGTATATATATTGAAGATTATCTTACAGCAAATTTCAATACTATGGATTTTTTTTTAACCTTGACATTTAAAAACAGTCCCTCTTTTCTTTGAATAAGAAAACTCAAATGCATTATGATTTTCTAAAATTGAGATTGACAAAGAAAATGAAAGACCATTATATTGGCTATTATGGTGCTAAGCTACCTTGACAGGAATGAAGGGTTTGGTATGAAGCTGTAGCCCCCTGCAATATAGATGTAATCCCCCAGGAGAGTCGAGGCAGCAGAGGCCAGTCCAATATCAAGGCCAGGAACAGCTATCTTCTCCCACAAAGCATTTGGTGCCGGGGTGCTGCAGTCCATTCCTGTAACAGAGCATCTCCTATCAATGGTAGTACTTAGGAACTAGGACCATAAGCCCTTTCACCCCTATGTAACTTTACTAAACCCTACCATGAATTGATATGGATGAGTCGATTATAGTATACAGTGGTGAAAGGGTTAGTTTGTGTACATATTGTATAGTAGACGGACTAACTTTAGATGTACCTGCAATATATGTGTTTATCTCCCACAACCACTATATATATAGGGTCCTTCACTCCCGACTCATCGGATTAACTTGCTGAAAAATATCCCCAAACTTATCTACCTCAAGTTTGTTGATTTTCAAATTATACAAAACTTGAGGTTTACCAAGCGTCTTTTATAATTTGAAAATTAACTATTGGGAGTCCGATAAACAGGGTAAGAAACCATCACTTGTTTGGTTATGTTCCCCTGACCCCCTGACGTCATAGGATTGATTCTCTCTGCGTGCAATCTGTCGTACACTAAGAGGTGACAGAGAAATCTTAAACAGATAAAACCTGACTTTACCTACCTAGGGGTAGACAAAACACACTTACTATTATTCTGAAATCATCACCACTGATTACCACTTAAAGCAGTGTAATTAGGGTAGTGTCTGATTACCACTTAATGCAGCGTAATTAGGGTAGTGTCTGATTACCAATTAATGCAGTGTAATTAGGGCAGTGTCTCATTACCACTTAATGCAATGTAATTAGGGTAGTGTCTGATTACCTCTTAATGCAGTGTAATTAGGGTAGTGTCTGGTTACCACTTAATGCAGTGTAATTAGGGTGGTGTCTGATTACCACTTAATGCAGTGAAATTAGGGAAGTGTCTCATTACCACTTAATGCATTGTAATTAGGGTAGTGTCTGATTAACACTTAATGCAGGGTAATTAGGGTAGTGTCTGATTACCGCTTAAAGCAGTGTAATTAGGGTAGGGTCTCATTACCACTTAAAGCAGTGTAATTTGGGTAGTGTCTCATTACCACTTACTGCAGTGTAATTAGGGTAGTGTCCCATTACCACTTAATGCAGTGTAATTAGGGTAGAGTCTGATTACCACTTAAAGCAGTGTAATTAGTGTAGTGTCTCATTACCACTTAATGCAATGTAATTAGGGTAGTGTCTGATTACCCCTTAAAGCAGTGTAATTAGGGTAGTGTCCCATTACCACTTAATGCAGTGTAATTAGGGGAGTGTCTGATTACCACTTAATGCAGGGTAATTAGGGTAGTGTCTGATTAACACTTAATGCAGGGTAATTAGGGTAGTGTCTGATTAACACTTAAAGCAGTGTAATTAGGGTAGGGTCTCATTACCACTTAGTGCAGTGTAATTAGGGTAGTGTCCGATTACCCCTTAATGCAGTGTAATTAGGGTAGGGTCTCATTACCACTTAGTGCAGTGTAATTAGGGTAGTGTCCCATTACCACTTAATGCAGTGTAATTAGGGAAGTGTCTGATTACCACTTAATGCGGTGTAATTAGGGAAGTGTCTCATTACCACTTAATGCAGCGTAATTAGGGTAGTGTCTGATTAACACTTAATGCAGGGTAATTAGGGTAGTGTCTGATTACCTCTTAATGCAGTGTAATTAGGGTAGAGTCTGATTACCACTTAAAGCAGTGTAATTTGGGTAGTGTCTCATTACCACTTAATGCAGTATAATTAGGGTAGTGTCTCATTACCCCTTCATGCAGTTGAATTAGGGCAGTGTCTGATTACCACTTAATGCAGTGTAATCAGGGTAGTGTCTCATTACCACTTACTGCAGTGTAATTAGGGTAGTGTCTTATTACCACTTAAAGCAGTGTAATTTGGGTAGTGTCTCATTACCACTTACTGCAGTGTAATTAGGGTAGTGTCTGATTAACACTTAAAGCAGTGTAATTAGGGTAGTGTCCCATTACCACTTAATGCAGTGTAATCAGGGTAGTGTCTCATTACCACTTAATGCAATGTAATTAGGGTAGTGTCTGATTAACACTTAAAGCAGTGTAATTAGGGTAGGGTCTCATTACCACTTAAAGCAGTGTAATTTGGGTAGTGTCTCATTACCACTTAAAGCAGTGTAATTTGGGTAGTGTCTCATTACCACTTACTGCAGTGTAATTAGGGTAGTGTCCGATTACCCCTTAATGCAGTGTAATTAGGGTAGAGTCTGATTACCACTTAAAGCAGTGTAATTAAGGTAATGTCTCATTACCACTTAATGCAGTATAATTAGGGTAGTGTCTCATTACCTCTTAATGCAGTGTAATTAGGGTAGTGTGTGATTACCACTTAATGCAGTGTAATTAGTGTAGTGTCTGATTACCTCTTAATGCAGTGTAATTAGGGTAGGGTCTCATTACCACTTAAAGCAGTGTAATTTGGGTAGTGTCTCATTACCACTTACTGCAGTGTAATTAGGGTAGTGTCTTATTACCACTTAAAGCAGTGTAATTTGGGTAGTGTCTCATTACCACTTAATGCAGTGTAATTAGGGAAGTGTCTTCTACTTTGTCACTCACTTCACGTACCCATGGTGATGGCACGGTATTACTTATTTAAATGGGAATGTAGAAAAGTGTGGGAGAAAAAGGCTCAATTATTCCCAAGTGAAATAGACTGAGAAATCTCACCCCTCCAGATATTATTTTTCAAGTTTGGCAGTTGACAAAGCCTCATGCTAAACTTCAAAATCTCGATTTTCTGTGGACATCCCACAGGAGTGACACAATCTCGTAGTCAACACAGACTTACCCATGAAGCCTGTTGTACACTGACACTTATCCTGGACACACTGGCCATTGGTACAGTTCTTAGGACATGGTCAGGAGTAACAGATTATTGTTATCTACACAGACTGACCTATGAAGCCTGTTGTACACTGACACTTATCCTGGACACTCTGACCGTTGGTACAGTTGTTAGGACATGGTCAGGAGTGACAGATCATTGTAATCTACACAGACTTACCTATGAAGCCTGTTGTACACTGACTTATCCTGCACACACTGACCGTTGGTACAGTTGTTAGGACATGGTCAGAAGTAACAGATTATTGTAATCTACACAGACTTACCTATGAAGCCCGTTGTACACTGACACTTATCCTGGACACACTGACCGTTGGTATAGTTGTTAGGACATGGTCAGGAGTAACAGATTATTGTTATCTACACAGACTGACCTATGAAGCCTGTTGTACACTGACACTTATCCTTGACACTCTGACCATTGGTACAGTTGTTAGGACATGGTCAGGAGTGACAGATCATTGTAATCTACACAGACTTACCTATGAAGCCTGTTGTACACTGACTTATCCTGCACACACTGACCGTTGGTACAGTTGTTAGGACATGGTCAGGAGTACCAGATTATTGTAATCTACACAGACTTAACTACTGTACACTGACACTTATCCTGGACACACTGACCATTGGCACAGTTGTTAGGACATGGTCAGGAGTAACAGATCATTGTAATCTAAACAGACTTACCTATGAAGCCTGCTGTACACTGACACGTATCCTGGACACTCTGACCGTTGGTACAGTTGTTAGGACATGGTCAGAAGTAACAGATTATTGTAATCTACACAGACTTACCTATCAAGCCTGCTGTACACTGACACTTATCCTGGACACTCTGACCATTGGTACAGTTGTTAGGACATGGTCAGGAGTAACCGATCATTGTAATCTAAACAGACTTACCTATGAAGCCTGCTGTACACTGACACGTATCCTGGACACTCTGACCGTTGGTACAGTTGTTAGGACAAGGCCAGGAGTAACAGATTATTGTAATCTACACAGACTTTCCTATGAAGCCTGCTGTACACTGACACTTATCCTGGACACTCTGACCGTTGGTACAGTTGTTAGGACATGGTCAGAAGTAACAGATTATTGTAATCTACACAGACTTACCTATCAAGCCTGCTGTACACTGACACTTATCCTGGACACACTGCCCGTTGGTACAGTTGTTAGGACATGGTCAGGAGTGACAGATCATTGTAATCTACACAGACTTACCTATGAAGCCTGATGTACACTGACACTTATCCTGGACACACTGACCATTGGCACAGTTGTTAGGACATGGTCAGGAGTAACAGATTATTGTAATGTACACAGACTTACCTATGAAGCCTGCTGTACACTCACACTTATCCTGGACACACTGGCTATTGGTACAGTTGTTGGGACATGGTCAGGAGTAACAGATTATTGTAATCTACACAGACTTACCTATGAAGCCTGCTGTACACTGACACTTATCCTGGACACACTGGCCATTGGTACAGTTGTTAGGACATGGCCCCACCTCACAGTAATCACCACTATATCCGGGCTGACACTGACACCGTCCATCTACACAAACACCCTTCGTAGAACAATCTTTCTGGCATGTGTTGACGCTGCAGCAAAATAATCATGTATCAACATCTTAACCTTAATTAGCATATATTACAAATGATGTATGGAGCAACTTTTTTGCAAACAAATTTTTATAGATTGTTAAAAGTTTTTCCCTATTGAAAGTTGGACTTAAGGTGAATATGTAAATGAAAATAAACCTGCATGAAACTTATATTTAATGAGTTTGTACCTGTATCAGAGATCAGTGATTAATAAAGCCTAGAAATACAACCTACCTGTATGAAAGGTTGAAGTAGACCTACCTATGTGAAAGGTTGAAGTAGACCTACCTGTATGACAGGTTGAAGCAGACCTTCCTGTATGAAAGGTTGAAGTAGACCTACCTATGTGAAAGGTTGAAGCAGACCTACCTGTATGAAAGGTTGAAGCAGATCTACCTGTATGTAAGGTTGAAGTAGACCTACCTATGTGAAAGGTTGAAGTAGACCTACCTATGTGAAAGGTTGAAGTAGACCTAATTGTATGAAAGGTTGAAAAAGACCTACCTGTATGACAGGTTGAAGCAGACTTACCTGTATGAAAGGTTGAAGTAGTAGACCTAACTATGTGAAAGGTTGAAGTAGACCAAGCTATGTTAAAGGTTGAAGTAGACCAACCTATGTGAAAGGTTGAAGCAGACCTACCTGTATGAAAGGTTGAAGCCGGACATGTTGTAAGCAGCATCACTGTAGAAGTAAATGAAAGCCTTCCCTGACTTGGCTGTAATTATTGGAATATTGGCCTCAGCCACCGAATCTTGTTTGATAAGTCCACTGAAACAAATATCACTCATTCAGAACAGTAAAATATACATACATGTACTTATAGAATCAACAATCCCTCTCACAACAAACGTGCTAGGTGTGGTGGACCCATTGGTTACTGCGACATGTATCAGACATCATCAATCACATGGTGTGTGATTTGTACACCCTGTAGATTTTGTCCGTGACATATGTGACAGTTATACCACTAGGTCTTCTGTATGTAGGAAGATTATTGCTTCATTTATATTTACGTTTAAAAATAAAATAAAAAAAAGTCTGTACGTTACGATTGCCAGCTCTGTACCTTGGATAGCACAAAACTGAACAATTGACATTGAACACTGTTGTTCTACACATTAGAACAGCTGACATCCGACATTATCATACATAAATTTGCTCAACTACATAATCAATTTGTTCTAATATGCAGAAAACAAGAGGCCCAAGAGGGCCTGTATCGCTCACCTGAATATTTAAGCAGTCATAGCAAAATATTCTCATTAAATATTATATTGCACTAAAAATATTTCCCTCGCAAACTTTGTTGGCTCTATCTGTTGAAACTACCAGCAAAATATTATTATAAGATTCTATGCTTTTTGATTCTTCTTCAGAAGTTGCTTGACATATTTTTCCCTGTGATCTTGTAAGTAGGTCAATGTCATTTTCCTTCTCAAATTGGTTAGCTCTATTCCAAAAAGCTACCAGCCAAATCTTATGAATCCATTCCTTTTAGTTCTCAAGAACAAATCCATTAAAATGTTGTTGACCTCTGTGACCTCTAAAGTAGGTTGAGGTCATTTTCATTTGCAAACTTTGGTGAGCTCTATCCCGGGAAGTCACCAGCCAAATATTATAATTTTATGCCTTTTAATTCTTCAGAAGAAGCTGTTTGAACTGTTTGACATATTTGAACGCTGTGACCTTGAAAGTAGGTCAAGGTCATTTTCATTCGCAAACTTTGTTTGGCTCTTTCCCAGGAAGCCACCTGCCAAATATTAAGATTTTATAACTACCAGTTCTTCAGAAGAAGTCGTTTAAAGTGTTTGACATATCTGCCTCATGTGACCTTAAAAGAAGGTCAAGGTCATTTTCATTCTCAAACTTTGTTCGGCTCTTTCCTAGGAAGCTACAAGCCAAATATAGAGATTATATACCTTTCAGTTCTTCAGAAGAAGTCGTTTGAAGTGTCTGACACATTTGACTCCTGTGACCTTGAAAGAAGGTCAAGGTCATTTTCATTCTCAAACTTTGTCGGGCTCTATCCAAGGAAGCCATCAATCAAAAATAAAGATTCTATACCTTTCAGTTCTTCAGAAGAAGTCATTTGAAGCTTTTGACATATATGACCCCTGTGACCTTGAAAGTAGGTCAAACTAGTTTTCATTCTCAAACTTTGTTGGGCTCTATCCCAGGAAGCCACCAGCCAAATATAAAGATTATATACCTTTCAGTTCTTCAGAAGAAGTCGTTTGAAGTGTTTGACACATTTGACCCCTGTGACCTTGAAAGAAGGTCAAGGTAATTTTCATTCTCAAACTTTGTTGGGCTCCATCCAAGGAAGCCATCAGCCAAATATGAAGATTCTATACCTTTTAATTCTTCAGAAGAAGTCGTTTGAAGTTTTTGACATATTTGACCCCTGTGACCTTGAAAGTAGGTCAAACTAATTTTCATTCTCAAACTTTGTTGGTCTCTATCCCAGGAAGCCACCAGCCAAATATAAAGATTCTATACCTTTCAGTTCTTCAGAAGAAGTCGTTTGAAGTGTTTGACACATTTGACCCCTGTGACCTTGAAAGTAGGTCAAGGTCATTTTCATTCTCAAACTTTGTTGGGCTCTATCCCAGGAAGCCATCAGCCAAATATGAAGATTCTATACCTTTTAGTTCTTTAGAAGAAGTCGTTTGAAGTTTTTGACATATTTGACCCCTGTGACCTTGAAAACAGGTCAAGGTCATTTTCGTTCTCAAACTTTGTAGGGCTCCTACCAACGAAGCTTTCAGCCAAATATCATGACTCTGGGCCTGTCCGTTCTTCAGAAGAAGTTGTTTAAAGGAAAAGTTGACGGACGAGGACGGACGGACGACGGACGCCGCGCCACGGCATAAGCTCACTTGGCACTTTGTGCCAGGTGAGCTAATAATTAATTACAATTAAAACACAAGCTACATTCAGTTGGTAAAGATTATAAGCGTTGCAGAACATTTTAGATACCATTTTATTGCCTTAAGTTTGCGAGCACATATATTTATTTACATTTTGTAAGCCCTGTAATTTGTATGGATGCCACCAACCAATTTCAGATGCATAACTTCTCTTTGCAGTATAAAATACTAGTAACAAAGAAAGGCATTGTCATATGTACACCTAATGTCAATATATAAGATTATCTTCAGAAAAACACATCATTCTAAGTAAAGAAGATACCAGTATATAATATATATATTATATGCTCTTAGCCCTTAGAGTTCATTACATGTACCCTTTACATGTATATACTGTACCTGTAGGCAGCCAACAGGGACGAGAACACCGAGTCGCCGTCATACACGTAAACATGGTCCCAGCCACACTCTGTAGAGAACTGATGGAACTTCAGCTGGATAGTGGTGTTAGGCTGACCGGTGTCCAGCAGCCAGGTACACTTATTGTCCACACTATAGTTACCATGGCCGTCTGTCACGAACCCCACGGGATCAGTCAGTCTGTGGTATAGAAATTAAAACAGTATAATATTACAGTAGAATTGCGATGCAAGCACATAGTCATTCAAACTAATATAACTCACAACTTACCTCCAGGTGAATCCTTGAAGTCAAATAAAGTTTCATGACAATCAGATAATTAAGAAAGGGAGTCTATAGAGTAATTTCTATCAAATTCTATTGATAGACACTGTGACCTAGTTTTTAAGCGCATAAGGTTGAAACATGAATTCATACTTTTGTGAACATGTGTGTGAAGTTTTTTTGGGTGATTTGGGGGACATTAGTTTATGTTTAAACTACAAAATAATGATACTGGTTTATTGTTATTTTACTGTTTGATAATTATGTAATGCACTAATATATCATGGTCTGAAGTTCACCCAAACCAATCTGTATGTTGTTCTTTGTATATTGTTTCTTTAGTTGTATACATGTTGTTCTTCTAGCTTAAGCATCTATACCTAAGATTGGATTAATTGAAGTTTGTGATGATCAGAAGTAAAGAAAGTCCTTTACAACTCTATTTATATTAACTGTGACCTCATTTTTGACTGCAGAAGGTCAAAACGAAAAGTGTTGAAATTGAGAATTATATCATATTCTATTTACATATATATGTATAGTGACTGTTTTTGACTGCAGAAAATATGTATGTACAAGAGATAATGTTTGCGAATTAGATGTTTGTAAAGTTTCGTAACCATCGGAAAAGAAATGAACAATAAATTAAGTCTGCAGAGTAGTGAAAACTTTCCATATGTATGTATATATATCCTTCACCTGGATTAATACGTACTAGGATAGTGAAATTTTATTATACTTGTGAATGAACTTAATAATATGTAATTAGTCTATTGGATATAAAATCAATTACCCTTTTGTTAGATATACTCTACATATATATATAGAACTCATAACATACCTTTCTACTGTGTATATAGTTATAAGGTTGTTATATATATTAGCTGTTACTCAAAAGTCTGGGAACCAGCTACAAAAGTCACTGAGAATGATAGGCATTCCTATATATAGAAACAAACTCCTAATTAGATGTCAAGGAAATATATGATCACTTCATGTGATATTGAAATAAAACATGTTTGGTCGTCTAAAGTCAAGCTGTTATAAAACTGTCCAGGATTTCGGAGTCTGACAATTTTATGTTCGATTGCAAGTTTTATTTCAGACTGAGACTGGTCAGGTAATAACATGAATTACCCACCATAAACTACAGGTGTACATGCATCTGTATGGTATGAGTCATCGACACTCCTAACAAGCTATTTACAACAGGACAACACTAATGGGTATAGTCAGGGGTATATGCTGTAATGCTGAGACAAAGTGATCAAGTACAAGTACATTTGGAGCAAATATATATATATACAGGCCTAGGGCACGGAATTAGATATCTAAGTCTGTGCCTAGGGTTACAAGCATGTAGAGATATACATCCTCATTTGTTAATGGATAAATATATACAATTTATATATTTAATCCATTTAGTGAAAGAAGCCCTGCAGAAAGTTTGAGTTTGATGGGCCAATGCATATGCAAGGGAACTCAATCAATGAGCTAGATTATTGCGTGGAAATTAATTTTCAATTTATAGTAATTATAACAATGACCTTGAATATTGACCTTTGAACTTCAAAAGTTATCCCAAGCAAAAAGCATTTCTGGTAGAGAATTTGATAGGCTCATGGGAACTCAAAAGCTATTGTGTTCTTTGACCCCGAAACACAATCCCAGGTTATACCACTTCTGTTATGGAATGATGATCATGAGCCCTCTATAATGAAGTTTAATTGAATTTGGATCATTAAAACTTGTGTCAATGTGCAAAAACGGAGGTAGGACGCACGGACGGGCATCATTATAATATCGCTTTAACATACAGTACATATTCATGAAACTGTTCTCATATGCTCAGGCCTAATTAGTTCTTGTCTAGTTATAACTTAATAAATAAAGCTTATAATTTTGTCAATGACATGGAAAAAATTTAAGGCTTAATTAGCTGATTACTGTTTTCGATATTTACATTTGACTTTTTGAACGTTTATTATGATTTACTAATTTTAAGCGGAAGTTGGTGTTACAAGGAAGTTCAGGTTTGAACACAGAATCAATGCATACAGTATGCTTGAGCATGAGAACAGTTTCATGAATACAGTCCCTGATCATGATCCATTGAGGGGAAGGTGGATGAAATAAACATGTACAAAACTTCTATCAGCAATATGTACCAGCAGGAAATGTAATAAATATATATTAACAGTCATTCTAGGACTTTATAGAATGTTGTTATTAAGTTCATTATATATGTGCATGTACGTACAATATTTTATAGTTCCTAGCTGTCAACTGTCCCTATAATCCAGGTCATCCCATGTTATACATGTATAAAGTTTGCAATTAAGAGGTATATATACTTCAATATATAGGACTTCTACGTATACTTCTGTACTTCTAAATGGTACTGACCAACTTCAACAATTTGAAGATAAAATGTCAGACGAGGAGTGAAACATGGAAAGAGATTGTTTTTAAAAGATACTAGATGGTCTAATTTGCGTTTGAAAAGTGACGGTAGAGGGCTGATTTGAATAATTCTGTTGTGGGGCTCGAAATAATGTCAGGTGGGAGTTTATTCCACTCGGGTATAGTTCGAGGAAAGAATGATGCCTTTCTGTCATGGTCTGGGTTTTTGAGTGGGAAATTTGATACAAAAACTGGTGGTTTGTTCGGGATTTTCTAACTGTAGGGATTAATCTGTCTGATTTTACGATAGCGACTTTCTGGTTTACAATGTTATGAAGCATGGTCAGACGAGCATCTCTACGTCTATCTGCTAGAGGGCGCAGCTTTTGGTGGTCCAACATTTCTGACACACTGGAGGTATGATGGTTGTATTGTTTGGACTACAAGGTTGACTTATCCAATTATCACTTTGCATACTAGCACAGCATGAATTGTAACTGGTGCGACCATTATTAGGACTAGGTTGTATTTACCTGATATAATGAGTCAGGATACAGCCGTTGTAGAAAATCAATAAGTAACATCATTCAGTGCTAATTTTATGTCTCTGACAACATCAACAATTCATAAAACCTTGAGGGTGCTCGTTATACTCAGAGATCACAACACTATATTTAATTTGTTTACCTTGTTAATGGCATGTGTCTATGTACCACGTATTACACATGACTGATCTCTGATGTACATGTACAGGTATTATACAATTATGGACTTCGGGTGAGGTCTATCCCTGATTTTCAGACCAGGTCCGTAAATCAGGGATAGACCGAAACTGAAGTCCAAAATTGTTTTATTATATGACATTTTATAATGAGATTAATCATTTTGCAAGTCTTAAACACATGGTTGACATGCATTGAACCATCTTGGAATCCCAGAGTGAAGGAGACTTCTAATACAAAACAACATACACACAAATTCAATTTCAGATTCAATTCATGTGATATTTAATTTCAAGTAAATATCATTTGCACAATTGACATAATTAATATTCACGTAGTTCAGAATTTGATGAGATAGAATTCAGTAGTGTTATTGGTAACAGAATTACAGACTGGCTGGGAAATTAACTAGACCTATTTTTAGTAGCGGTCTGTAACACTTTTCTATTTATAGGTTGAGGTCTGTAACACTTTTCTATTCATAGAACGAGGTCTGTAACATATTTACAGACTCGTCACATGACGTCTCTCCTCCAATCAGGGCTGGGAATTAGCACCAGTCATATAATAAACACGTTTACAGTTGTGAAAATGTTCATTAAAATATATTAATGTAAACATAATGAAAAAGTAACATAAAATTGTGCAGGTACATGACTATGCAGGTATAGTACATGTATATATAGCATCTGCAGGCATATATACATATGTCACATTTATACCTACATGTATACAGGTGTATACTATACAGGTGTAACATATTACATACATATTGGTGTACAATGAACGTAGGTAACACAAATACAGGTGTATACTGTACAGGTAGCATACATGTACATCATACATATTAATTATAAGTATACGCCAAGTAGTAATTTCTCTTTTCCTCAAAATCAGACATCTAAATTTCGACCAATCAGAAGCCTCTGTGAGGTTGCTATGGCAACAAAACTTATACAGTTGAATTCGCAGTCCCCTAATTATACCCCTATATACCAATTTCCATCAGAATCGAACAATAACAGTCTGTTCGGGGGACATAATTAATGTAGGTAACACAAATACATATATGTACATGTACAGGTAACGTAATCATTATATATTATACATGTAGAAAAAATATTCTTCAGTTTTTTTGCGTTACTTATATAGTTATAATTATACACCTGTCATATATTCAAACATCATTAAAATACAATAAATGCCATATGATGTGACTTGTCAAGCCATTAATGCCTTATAATATATATAGACACATTTAATTTGCATACATAAATTAATGCAAATAAATGAAGGTACAATTTCTGACTCAATATTGAGAATTTATATGTATACAGACAGGCTGCAGTCAGCTGGTTACCATACATGTGTAGTAGCTATATAGGTGACTAGACTGGCTAGACTATTGTATAAATTCGCAGAATTGTTATTTTTTTTACAGGCCTTATAAATATGCTACACTGTGCTTTATTATATATATTTGACTTCTGCTACGAATGTATTTATAGAAATCAAATCATAATCATTATTGTTAATTACATAGAAGTGTTCATGTACAAATCTGATACATGTATATTGATTGTACCAAATATAGGTCTCTGGATCACCCAGCTATACTGCTGCAGCCTGTCTTCAGTGACTTGTGACCGCACTAGAATAGTGAGTCATTCTTAACATCTACACGCATCAACATGATAATCAAGTCTGGATACATCCCAAATATCTCAATCTTATTCATACATGTATCATGCATAATTAATCCCTTTTAGTCAAAATCAGTTAACTTCTTCA